TCAGAAGACCTGGGTTTGATTCCCAACACCCACATGGTGGCTGACAACCATCTGCAATTCCAGTTCCAGGGGATCTAATCCCTCCTTTTGGCCTTTGCAGACACTACATACATGTGGTGCATGGGCATACACGCAAGCAAAACACCCATACTCATAAATTAAAAATAAAAAAAATAATTCATCAAATAAATAAAATGCTCTATTTTATGTTAAAATTTACAAAACATTGTAGAAATTATACAATTCAGTGAGAACTACCCCATGTTGGTACAGTGGAAGAATTAACACTGTTAGGATGTAAAATTTCAAAAACTGATATGGAAATTTAATGTGATCAACACAAAACACAAGGTATCCTTTTAAGGGAAATTAACAAGTAGACTCCACAATTTCTATGGTAACAGAAGGGACTTAACAGAACAATGCTCTTGAAAAAATGTGGAGGCCTGTCTTAGGGTTTCTATTGCTCTGAAGACTATTACTCTGAAGACACTATGACTATGGCAACTCATAAAGAAAAGCATATAGTTTCAGAGGATTAGTCCATTATTGTCATGGTGGAAAGCATGGTGGCACACAGGCAGACATAGTTCTGGAGAGGTCGCTAAGAATTCTACATCTAAATAGGCAGCAGAAATAGAGAGGGAATCATTGGGCCTTGCTTGAGCTGAAATATCAGAGCCTACCCCCAGTAACACACTTCTTCCAAAAGGTCATGTCTATTTCAACAAGGCCATATGTCCTAATCCTTTCAAATAATGCAGTAGCCTATACAGACCATTTTCATTCAAACTACAATATTCTACTCCCTGGCCCTCATAGGCTTATAGCCCTATCATAATGCAAAATGCATTTAGTCCAACTTCAAAAGTCTCCATATTCTACAACAGTTTGTACATTGTTTAAAAGTCCTAAGTTGAAAATCTCTTCAGAGACTCATGGCAAACCTCTTAACTGTAATCCCTTGTAAAATCAAAATAAAAAAGCATATCATATACTTCCAACATACAAACGGTACAGGATATATATTACCATCACAAAAGGGAGTAAAGGGAGCATAGTAAGGAAATACTGGACCAAAGCAAGACCAAAAATCAACTGGGAAAAGTCCAAACTCTGCATCTCTATGTCAGATGTCAAAATGCTCTTCAGATCTCCGACTCCATTCAGCTTTGTGGACTACAACACATTTCTTTCCCTTGGGCTGGTTCCACTCCCTATTAGTGGCTTTCCTTGGCAGGTATCCCACAACTGTGGCATCTCCAATATCCTGGGGCCTCCAAGGCAGTTCCAGCTTTTCCTTTACAGCTTCTTGCAATGATCTCTCTGTGCCTCCATGAAGGACACCCCTGATACATACCTGGACTCAGTGGCTTTTCTTAGTCATGGAGGGAGATTCTGCACTCCTTTATTGTATCCTTGATGCTAAATCCAGAACCTCATGTTAGAGTTGCCTAGTTCTACTGCTTGCTGGGGCTGTGCAATATGGCTTCCTTGTTCAAATACATTGACCATTTCTATGTCTTCAATGGTTTCCTTTACTGTCTAACTTGACTGTCCTGGAACTTGCTCTGTAGATCAGACTGGCCTTGAACTCAGAGATCCTCTTGACTCTGCCTCCCCAGTGCTGGGATTAAAGGCTATACCAGCCCTAAACTTTCTTTTTAATTTCATTTCACAAGTTGAAAGCTTAGCTGGGTGGCATCTCGCCCTGATGTTGCAACTCCCTTTATTCCATTTAGCATCAGGATTTTCTTTAGTCTGTTTACACTTCCTAGTGTCCCTTTTCTCCTAAAACTGTACATTTTGTATTTTTTCCTTGCTCAGCTTGCTCTGTTTCGTAATAGATCTGCATAAGCATGGTCACTAATAACCAAGCAACACATTCAATACTAGGTTGTATGGAAAGCTCCTATGCCAAAGATATTAATACATAACTCTTCAATTTAGCCTCAGGCAGCCTTTTTGTACAAGGGCCAACTTTGCCAAAATATCACAAGAATTTTACTAGGCCACATTCTAATATTTTTCTTTTCTGAAACCTCTTAAGCTGGGCCCCTATAGTTTAAACCATCCTCAGCACCACTGTCTTCCATGCTCCTACTAGTATGGCCCATTAAACCCCACTTAAAGCATTCAACTGCTTTTCTAATCCAAAGTCCCAAAGTCCACATTTTGTCAAAAAGAAACAAGGTTAGGCCTATTGCAACAACATCCCAGTTCCTGGTACCCACTTCACAAGGTGTCACATATTCTGCTTTAAAAACTTAACAGCCAGGCGGTGGTGGCGCACGCCTTTAATCCCAGCACTCGGGAGGCAGAGCCAGGCGGATCTCTGTGAGTTCGAGGCCAGCCTGGGCTACCAAGTGAGTTCCAGGAAAAGGCGCAAAGCTACACAGAGAAACCCTGTCTTGGAAAAAAAAAACTTAACAAAAAGTTGATCTGAAAGCACTTTGTTATCTCCATAATTGTTATGCCACTATTACACTAGAGAGAATATTTTTCTGTTCATCCAGGTAACTCACACACACAAAAAGAAGACAAAAGTAGGAAGGGGAAGAAGGATTTCAGTAGAAGAGAGAGATAAAAGAGGATTAAATAGGCTAAAAACAATATAGAATAAAAACACAGAAAAAGCGTAAATACACAGTTAAATTCACAACATGTGATAGTAGCATAAATACACATATAAATCAATTGGATGGGTCAATTGTCTTTCCAGAAGATTTTTTTCAACAAATGTTTTTGGGACAACTAATTATTCACACGCAGAATGATTAATTTGTATATATTTCTGACACCATACTAAAAAAACTTCACTGAAATGGATCATAGGCATTAAAGTAGGTGCTAAAATTATGCAGTTATAAATCATCTAAAAGAAAACATAGGCATAAACCTATGAATCTTGGATTAGGTATGCTTTCTTGATAAGATACTTAAAGCATACAAGTTAAAATTCTATAAATTAAAAAAAAAACCAGAAGGAAATATTTTGTTCTTCAAACAATAGTATAGAAACAATGCCCACACTGTACCAAGTTGATTAGGGGAGGGATGGTGGTGGTGTAGAATTTGTTCTATTCTCAGTTCTAGGAGCAGCATGGTTGGGGTTAGGCAGCTAAATGTAATGAGCTCTAAGCTAAAGTCCTCTGGTTATAGAAGATGGGTCTCATTTGACAAAATTGGTTTGCCTTCAGACTCTTGGGTCAGTTTTGAGGGAGAATATTATATTAGTTTCCTCATTTCTGTGACAAACACCCAACAAAATCAACTTAAGGAAGGAAAGATTTCGCTGTGGTCATGGGTTCCAGAGATTTCTGTCTGTCACGACATGGCAAAATAGCTCCCTTGTGATGGGAACATGTACCAGGGCCTCTCATATCTTAGTTTTACCAGAAAGCACAGAGAAAGAGACCAAAATCAAGGAGGAGTTATAAAATTTACAGGCTGGTCCTAGAGCCCACTTCTGTAGCCAAATCCCATACTTTAAACCTCCAAAAACAGTTATAGAGGCTGCAATCATGAGTTGAAATATATGAGCTCATGGGGGGGGGCACGGGGGAGGGGTGCGGGGCGGGGGAAGCTTTCAGACTCAAGCCAAGGCAGATAACTTCTCTACTTGCATATGAAAACCCACGGACATAGCCTGATACACCCTGACAACCCTTCCAGGCCAGGAGGAAGCTCAGTCTGAGGGTAAAGAAGAGCTTAGAAGGAGAGAAATGGATCTGGAGCCTTGTCTGAATAGTGCTGGATGTCTGCCTGGGTTCCTTTAGGTGTTTCCAGTAGCAGAACCAACAATTCTCATGTATTAACTTTTCAATACAATTTTTGTTTTCTGTATAGACAACTCAAAACATTCTAACCAATATTGACTCTCATTGTACAAAAATGTATATTTATATTGTGCAACACTATCCAATAAAATATCAATAATTGTATCTTGGGGGGTATGGTTACCAGCAATTTTTCTCTGCTTTATGCTTTTTTTTTTATAATTCTAGCTTTTCCATAACTATATGTATATATTTTTTTCAGAAAAATTCAAATATGACATTAACTAGAGTGATCCTAATACTTATTAGCTAAGTCAAAATCATCAGACTTTTAATTTCAGATGGTGATAATCCAAATAAAATAAGCCCTCAGATAGAAGCTCATTTAAAATTTTAACTTTCAGAGCTAGGAATGTAAAGTTCTTAATTCTGAGAACTAATTAGTGTTTTCAAATATGTTTATTGAATTAAAAAATCCTATTAGTTCAAACTCCATGGACAGTGTCATCTGCACCCACTACAAGCAAATTAGGAGCACTGATATTGAGACAGTTAGTCTGTGGCACGGTGGGAAACTGAGGTTTTACATCAGCTGTTTCTGCCTCTTTGACCTTAGAAAAACCACATTACCTCTCTGAAACTTACTTACTCCAGTCAAGAAACTATGCAGTTGAGTTAAATTTTATCAATAGTTTCTCCATCTATGATCCCATGGAAGTCCCCAAATTAAGCTTTGTGTTGGAGCAGGAACGATAGTTACTATTTTGGGACACACAAGTGAGATCTAGCTTTCATAATAATAGTGGGTATTTGGTAGAGGTAATGGGTGATCAGGTATCTGAGGGTCCTCATGAACCCTCAGTACTAAACAAGTAGTAGGATCTACAGAAGTATATTTGCTAAACCTTACAATTTACCCTGATGATGATGGTGGTGGTGAGTTTTGTCCATATCCAGAACCTTTTTAATAATGAAACAATTAAGACTTGCATTTAAGTATTTCTATTTTTTTCCTTCTACTCCCTTAACTCAACAAAAGTGGTGATTGGTAGCAGTTGTGAATTCAGAAGGAAATGTCAAGAGAGCTCCGAATTATATAACTCTTTTGCTAGTTTGCAAATGTCCTGAGAGCCACATTGAGAATGAGTAGGGCTGCCAGGGAGGTGTGTGTTTGCAACCACGTTCACTCCTTGCTCCTGTCAAAATCCTCCTCCTCAACAGAGAACTTCAACAGAAACCTGTGAATAAAGATCAGTGTCCTGGAGACAGGCCAGAGCCGCCAGAGGCAGGAGGCATCTATCACTGCCACAGCAGCTTCAAGGCCACAGAGAACAGGTCGAGCAAGCAGGTGCATGCCAAGTGGAGACTCTGTGCTGCTTCAGTGATATGCTTCATCTTTATGGTGGCAGAGGTGGTCGGTAAGTACTGCCCAGGAAAACTGACAGACAATCCCCTGCATCGCGATAGGAAGGATAACTAGGTTGTTCTTTAAAAGACGTAGTTAATACTTTCTGCATGTATAGCATGACAGTAGGCACATAGTAGTCAAGTTGAAAAATAGAAGAAAAACAAAATCCATTATTATGTCACATTCAGATGATAACCTCTAATAACACCATGGGGTATTTCCTATAGTGCATCTTTTGTGCATAGCTCATGCAATTTTTCTTTTTTTAAAAGATGTAATTGGGACCATGCTGAATGCTCTTATCTATCCTATCAAATACTATTTAAAAATATGTTTATGCCCAAACAAAACAGTATATCATATAAGCATTTCTCTATTGTTAGAAAATTAGGGAGATTTTTCCTGCTTCTGGACTATCCAATGAAGAAGATCTTGATAAAATTCTGCCTATCCTTCTAGTTAATCCCTTGAAAGGGATTCTAAAAATGGAAATAATAGAAATAATTGGTTGAAAGACATGAATATTTTTCTGACTCCTTGAATTATCTGTCAAACCTATATCCAGACACTTGAAATGATTCATCTGTATGGAAACTCCTCATGAAAATGATTTTTCATCCAACTCTTTAAAAATCTTTGTTGGGACTGGAGAGATAGTTTGGTAGTTAAGAGCACTTGCTGCTCTTTCAGAGGACCTGAGTTCAGTTCCCAGCATCCGTGTTGGACAACTCACAACTACCTGTAAATATACTCTGAACCCTATCCTGGCCTCCACAGGTACACATGCACCCACACACACACACAAAGTTATATATATATATATATATATATATATATATATATATATATATATATATATATATGAATGTTTTAGTAGTCATTGCTTTAATTATTAGTTAGAATATTTCACACACTTATGAGTGGACTGTGTTTCCTCCTGCTGTACATCACCTCCCTCCCTCTTACTGTCTTCCTAGTTGAGAATTTTTCAGATTATTTTATTGATCTCTGATAACTCTATATATTGGGGTGTTAAGTCTGGGCTATATTGTTTATAACTATGATTTTAATTTGTTGGTTGCCTTTTAATTTGTGTTTTAACTTGAGAAGCTTTAAATTTTCTACAGGCAATTTAGGTCTTAAATATAGGTAACTACGGAACTTTCACTCTGAGGTGACTGATTGTTTTTGTTTTTAACTTGGGAATCTCCACCCACTGAGAGAATAAAAGCTTTTTAATGCATTTTCTTCAGTTTTTGGATGTAACTTGTGCATCAATGTAAAATTAGATTTTTTTTTTTGCATTCTACAAGGACTAAAATCCCCTTTTTAAACAACTGAAAAAAGTTTCCAGTATCATGACATAATAATTTTTCCATTGATATTCAATACATTCTTGTCATGAATTAACCTTTTTATAAGTTACAAAGTGTGTTTCTAAGGTTGCTTATTGGTCTGAGTTCCTATTTTCTGACAGTAACACAATTAATGTAAGATTTAAATATTATAATATCTGTTGTCTCCTCTCTATTTAGCAGAAATGTATAAAGATTATTCATTTCTGTTTTTTAATATTAAACACAAGACATTCTGTTCTCACCCAGTCTAACTATGATTTTATTTGCATGTAAGTTAATAGAAAAATATAAATATTTATTAATAATTGAAATTTAGCTGTAGTTTTCTGATTTGGTGTTTTCCTAAGATTTTTTTCAGTCACAATTGAGCATGCTAATATAGAAAGCTGAATTTTAATAATTTCATTTTAATAAATAAACCATATGGTTTGTAATTGTCTCTTCCTTTTCAGAGAGCACTCTGGGATCTGGCTCTAGAGAACTTTTTAGGTATTCTTTTGATATGGAGTTTAGCTTTTTTCTCATTTATTGGCAAATGCAAAATTTCCACTTCAGTACTTTTTTCTCTTCTCTATATTTTTATTAAATCATTTATTTAATGGAAAATTTCAAAATTCTTGTTATATAATGGGATATGATGGTCTTCTATTTGAGTTACTCAGCTTGAAGGTTTGGGAATATAGTGTTGTTTTATTTTCCTCCAAACACGTAAAAGAATACTGTAGGTTACCTACACATGGAATCAAAACCTTTGCAATTCTGTTACCTCTGCTACCTGTCACACCGTTACCGATGTCCTAGGAGCTTCCTTTTCATCTGGTTACCTAAAGGGAGGTCTAAATGAGTAAGAAACAGGAGAATAGAGGGCAATGGGCTCCACCCAGCTCTTTTTTGCACTGTGTTTTCTAGCTTCCAGAATAAGCTGTGTTTCTTCTAGCGGTGGAGTCTTCTTGTATTTAGATTTTTACAGTTTTTGAAAATCAGATAAAATTTTAGATCCATTAAATCCAAAATAACCACAGATTTGATACACAGCATTTTATCAAAACTTTATAAAGATAATCAGTACCGCCCAATTTCTATACAAGAGATTGAAAGATTAATGGAGTGGCAAAATAATTTGCTGTAGGCCATAGGCAGTTCCAATCTAGAACATCCTCTTAAAAGCCACCAACGTCTCACAAAAATGCATGTGCGCACTCATACACACACACACACACAGAGAGAAAACATATCTATATACATGTATGCACATACACATGTGCATACACGTATATTCCTACAGCATATTTAGATGTATAAATTGATGAATTATTCTACAAATAGACAATTTCGCTCCTCCCTTTCCTATTGGGATGCTTTCTATTTCTTTGTCTTGTTTACTGGCTCTGGTTAAGGCCTCCAGAGCACGCCCAATAGAAGTGGCTAAGGTGAGTTCCTTGGTTTGCTCCTGATCTCAGAGGCAAGGCTGTCCGCTTTTCTATTTTGTGTAGCGAGAAGCTGTGTCCCTTGTAACCTTCATTTTGTTCAGTCGTACCTCTACTATCCCTAATTCGCTAGTTGCCATTTTGTTTCAAAATGTTTTATGTGAGGCAGGCGTGGGCAGTTATCCACATGGAGTCCTTCTGTCCCTCTTATTCTTACATATCCAACTGCATGAGTTCTACCCTTAAACTCAGAAGTGATTTCACCAGTAAAGGAACACAATGGATACTGACTGATACTTGCCAAGTTTTGAGCTGTATCTTTATCAAGCTGATTGTTCTAAACATGGCTCATCCGTCTTTAAAATTCTTCAGCATTTTTCTTTTGCTTGAAATCTTGTTGAGCATGGGGCTAAACTGACAAGACCACGTGCAGCTGGAAGAAACTGGTTCAGAAGCCGCTTCTATGCTCAGCCCCACTCTCCCAAACGAAGAGTGATCAATGTATTGGAAGTTTCTGATATCTAGGACAAAAAAAAAAAAAAAAAAAAAAAAAAAAAAGACAATTCTCTCCTTGGATTTTCAGATATTCCACAATCAGTCTGCCATATAAATTGTTAATACTTCTTCTCTTGCCACACCCTTACATAATCATTCAGTTCTAATTCAGAGAGATTATTCATTCTCTGTAAAATAATCCTTATGCTTTATGGTCCTGGTAGATTTTGTCTTTTTACTTAAATACAAAAGTCTTCTCTATGTTCCATTCTCCAAAGTTCTAGGCATCACTCAAGATTCCAGTCCACAGCACACCTATTCCCTGAATTTAGATAAAGAGAGGATTATTATTAAGACCTTTTAGAAGAATCTGGGAGGTCCTTCTTCAGGATATGGATTCTGAGCAAGGCCTCAAAGAGGTTCCCTGTGAGGGGCCATCCCATCCCCACTTTTCTGCAGAGTACTCTTGAGTAGGAGCAGCAGGAAATATTAGATAGAAGTAAAGAGGGGAGAGAAAAAGATAGAAAATACAGGATAGCCTCGGGTGGGCTTGGATCCTTATCCACAGTCCCTGCCTGTCTCTGCCCTAGAGTATTTAAAGGAATGCTAAGGGGTGGAGCAAAAGACCTCCCCCCAGCACAGCCAAGTGCTGACCATCTCAGACATCTGGTACCCGGGCTCACCTGCTGGGTAAAGCCTAAATGGGCTCCAACAGTTCCCAAAAGAAATGAGAAAGTCTTTTTTGATAGAAGGCTGAAAGTGATGCAATTATGTTTTAATTAAAAATTTTATAAATCAACAAGTAAAACTAGCAAAAGCACAACCAAACAGCTCATTATTTATACCTGTGGTCCGAGAGGTGGCAACTCTCAGGCCCTACCTTCAGATGTCTCTGTGGGTATGTCTGAAGCAGGACAGGGAATAATGCCCTTAGAGATGCAGGCGCAATGGCTTCAAGGAGGCTGACAGTTCTCTTCAGCTTGCCTTCTCACTGTCCATCATGGCTGCCAGCCAAGTCCTCCTGGCCTGAGGACCTGATACTCACAGTCTCTGGTCTTTGTATAAAGAGGCTGAATAAAAATTACTCTCTTTCCATATTAATGTGGAATGATGTAGTCCCAGAGCTTCCAGAGCCCCACCTGTATCTTATCTGCCTTCAATAATCTGCCTTAGTAACATCTTTTGATCCTTAGACTTAGGACACACCTGCTCAATTATCCTCATATTCACTTTCATTTATACGAGCCAATGACTTAAAATCTTTCTGTTGTTTGAGCTAATTTAGATTAAGCTTTTATGACTTAGAACTGAAAGAGAATTCCTAAGGCAGATTTTGTCAAAGACACGGCTAGAATGGTAATTGGGGGCTCAGCCGGGGAACCCAGTCCTTTGGAGAGTTAGCTTTGCCACTGTGTCTAGACTAGGAGAGAATTGGGGGCCATTGGCCTGCGTTGAGGGAGATTACTGCCACAGTGCGCTCATCAGAGTGGTGGAAGAACCAAGGAATGAAGGGGATAGGCACAACAAGCCCACTCTTGGGCCTCTGGAGCTGTCAAACTGGGACTGATTTTGGCAGCTTGAAAATATTCTTCTTTGTGCGAAGGCCATCAAGGGGAGTTATATTGCAGATACGAACACATATCTCTATTTGAAAAGATGAAAAGTAGATACTGAGAACTCAGGGAAATAAGCTCAAGTGTGTCATTGCTAGAAGCAATTGATAGTTAGGC